ATCTTATAAATATTATGTATTGTGTAATTTTCGAGGTTCTTAATAAAATTGAATTGAATTGAATTGAAAATTTATCTATATGTGTTCAGTACTATTAATTAATGTTACAAATCAGCAATTTTTAATCGTCAAAAATACCATCTTAAAAAACCTAAAAACCTAAATAAAACCTTAAAAACCATAAAAAACTAAAAAACCTTAAAAGCTACAATTTATTTTTCCTATTCTTAGGGTTTTTCCAACCCTGTCTAAGACACCTAGGGGACAGATATTTGGAAGCTGAGGAATAATGCATGCCCTACCAGCGCCGTAAGCATGTAGAGGCTACCCTTCAAATCAATCAATCAAGTTAAAATTATAAAAATTACCATTAAATTAATCAGGATATATGTATATAGGTAAAGTTCGAACGCGTTAAGAATATCACCGCAACATCACTTGGAAGCGACAGCTTCTCAAAGTTCCGCGTACTTGAACTCAGCGGCGTAGAGTATATGTATTTAATAAAATACTTATGCATCAGAATTTAATAAAACAATAATTATGAAATAAACAAGCCAGGCAGTACGGTAGTCATAGCGCTAGCGACGAGCTGATTTTCGAAAGTATCGTTCCTAATGTATTAGAGAAAATTTAATAAGGAACATTTTGAAATTTTAATGAATATTTTTAATTAAATAAATATAAATGTTTCAATAAAGTTCTTTATTACTTAAAAGTATGTTTTATTCACTAATGCAATGTCAGGCAGCTGAAATGCGGTAGAAAATTCTGGGAATTTCTATCGCACCTGAACACCCTTAAAAAATATTAAATTGAACACACTGTATATGAGAGAGAAGGAACATTTGACGCGTTTTTTGGAAAAACATCATTAGTCCAAAATAAACATATTTGGGAAAATGAAAAAAACTCTCCGACATTCCCATTTTTGACCAAAGTACTTTATTGACCTATTTACTACATGTAAAAAAATGTAAGATACTTTGTCCAGAATTCCTCATGTTTTTTTTTCGACGAATATGAAAAAAACACAAAAAATACATGAACATGTGAGGTTCTTAGAAGAAAAAACGAACAATTATCCTTACTACAAACACTACAAACTAAAAATTAACTCTGAGTAACAAAATAAATAAAAACTGAATTACTGCCACACTCAGTCTTCGCATCCACTGCTGTTATCATCGTTGTCGACCGTGATATCAGGACTGTCAGGTGCTATGGTCTTCTGGTCTTTTATCAAGTTATCATAAAATTTTCTATTGCTGTGGTCATGTAAAAGAGGTAGAAGCTTTTCTAGAGTGTCCAAAAACGTCACATGTTAGGCACATGTGACTTTCTTAGACAAAACAGAGTGGACTTGTGATGTTTTTGAAGAACAAGCTAAATTTCATATTTAATTATTATGGAACCTATGACATTTTTACGAGAAACACTTATTTGTATACGTATATAATATATACTATATACTATATATGGAGGTTAGGAAACAGTTGGTGCTAATATCTAAATTTCGACGATATTGGACTAATGATGTTTTTCCGAGAAACGCCTCATTTGTTTCTTATATATGTTTTAGTTAAAATAACTTACTACACTACTAAAAATAATTAAATTGTAAACTTTTTAAAAATATGCCTCAAAATATTTTTAATAAAAGTTATTTAAACCAGTTTTTTTATTTTGCATAAAAAAACTGTTCATAATAAGATTGAAACATTTTCATGGATCGAAACAGATTCAACAATTGGAATCGTTAGTTGCTAATTAGTTTCGACGGAAAAAAATGTGTTGCTAAATTTTATGCAGAAAAAATTATGCTTTGCTAACTTGACGTCAACTTGGGGAAGCAACAAAGCAAAAAAAATGACCGCGCGTGGATTGTGCTTAGGCACTGACCAACCCGCCTGAGCTGCTTATAAAACCTTATTAATAAGTTTAGTTTAATATAAAAACGCTCAGGCAAATTTTATATTAAACTTACTTAAGAAAAATAGCGAAAAATATCTATGAGCATATTCTGAAAGCAACTAATTGGCGGTGAAATTAAAATAATAATTAGAAATATTAGTTTTGATGTTTTCTTGTGTTTATTCGTCACGTACAATATTGTTATGTAAGCAGTTGATTTATGAACCGCAAGCAGTACTGATCGGCCGCCTGTGCTGAGAAGCCGTTCGATAAATAAAAATTATTAAAAGTAAATTAGTGGTGTTATTGCCTCTCTGCATCTGCATCCTATTCCGCTTGGATCGACTTGGAAAAGGAAAGTTTTTTACGTCCTTGGATATGTCATCGGGTTTCCATCAAATACCGATATATGATGATTCTATCCACAAAACTGCGTTCGTAACTCCAGAGGGACATTACGAATATTTAAGGATGCCCTTTTGACTGGCAAACGCTCCTGAGGTTATCTAAATGATATCCATATCCCGTCGGTGACCGTTGAAAAAGGAGTAACATTTTTACAAAAAGTTTTGATGGCCAAAACACAGGTCTTTCTTTGAACATTAAAAAGTGTCACAGGTTTACAAGACAAGTTGGAGTATCTTGACAGAGAAATTCCGGCAGAAGGAATACGCCCTAGCGGTCGCAAAGTAGAGGCTCTTCGAAATACCCCATCCCCATCCACTGTAAAGCAAGTGGGACAGTTTATGGGCCTTGCAGGTTATTTCCGCAAGTTTATACCGGATTTCGCTGGCAAGATCCTGGTAACCAAAGCAGCTAAGTAGCAATTAAGGCACTGGCCCACTGATTGGTCCTTATCAATGGACATGAGTGAATTGTTGAATCAGCTAGAAGCTGAGGACAATGATTAAAGGTATATTTTAGGGTTAAAACCTGTAGATGTTTTTGTGATGAAAGCTAGACGCCTTGCAATTACAATATTGTTAAAAGCTGGACGCTTTGCATAAATTTGAATTTTGGATATTGAGATAAGTTTTTTGAAAGCTTGACGCTTTGCAATGATAATATTGTTGAAAGCTGGACGCTTTGAATATTGAGATACATTTTTTGACAGCTTGACTTTTTGCAATAATAATATTGTTGAAAGCTGGACGCCTTGAATATTGAGATACTTTTTTTAAAAGCTTGACGCTTTGCAATAATAACATTGCTGAGAGCTGGACGCTTTGAATATTGAGATACATTTTTTGAAAGCTTGACGCTTTGCAATGATAACATTGCTGAAAGCTGGACGCTTTGCAATGATAACATTGCTGAAAGCTGGACGCTTTGAATATTGAGATACATTTTTTGAAAGCTTGACGCTTTGAATATTGAGACTCATTTTTTGAAAGCTTGACGCTTTGCAATGATAACATTGCTGAAAACTGGACGCTTTGAATATTGAGATACACTTTTTGAAAGGTTGACGTTTTGCACTGGTATCATTCTTTAAAGCTGGATGCATATCTGTTGTTAGTTAAAAGCTTAATTTTAAGAATTGTTTATTTTTAGTATGACTTCAGACAACTATCCTCTGGAAAAGAATCACCGTAAAGATTTATCCTAATGGAGTTGGTTTATGCTTCGAGAGCGAAGCTTTTGTCAGGATTGGCTGTGTTGGCGGTGGAATTAAAATAATAATTAGAAATATTAGTTTTGTTGTTTTCTTGTGTTTCTTCCTCACGTACAATATTGTTATGTAAGCAGTTGATTTATGAACCGCAAGCAGTCGTTCGATTAGTCAGTCTTGATCGGCCGCCTGTGCTGAGAAGCCGTTTGATAAATAAAAATTATTAAAAGTGAATTAGTGCTGTTATTGCCTCTCTTACATTTTTTAGTTTTTTAATACTATGCAGTTTACAATGTCATACGGTCTTTTTTTTCTTGTTGCTTCCCAAGTTGACGTCAAGTTATCAAAGCACGGGTTTTCTGCACAAAATGTGTTAGACAAAAAGCAGGACCACGCATCGTCTATTCTAATATTCTATTATTTTGTTTGTCTACATATAAAATGTATTATAAACACACTTTTTCCAAGTGTAATTCAGCCTTGTAATTCACCGCCTGTTTTTGCTTGCTTGCTCCATACGCGTGCGGTTTTAAAGGTAAATAATTTAAAATAGAATAAACACTATATATAAAGTTAATCCTATTAGCATAAATATTTGATAGTGCAAAATAAATGCTTTTTTTTAATTTGTATTTTACTGAACTTTTCTCAAATAGCTTCATGAAAAATAATTATTTTTTTCTACGACCAAAAAAGTCACATTTTGTAATGGCATCGTTTCTTAGAAAATAAATCTTTTCATTGGCAGGGCAAAACTCGAATGTAAAGTGACATTTCTGTGTGAATGTAAGGTGACATTTCTGTGTGAAAAGTGACAGGTCTGTGTAAAAATAAATTGACAGCATCGTTGTCAATTTAGGTTTGAAGTTTTTAGGTTATTTTGTTATTTTGTTTTGTATTTGAAAATAATAAAAAATAAAAGGGTCGTAGAAAAAACATTGTATTTCACTTCGAGAAAAGCTTTCTTCAAGCTCGTGTTAATGCACACTAGGCCTGACGGCCACGTAAGCAACTTAAACACTTGCATAAAAAAGTCGCTTTTCAACACTTGTAAAACAAATAGGTACCTATTTCAAAAACTGTCATTTCCGCTGGAAACCAAAAGAGTCACTTGACCAACTTTTGACGCTCGAAAATTAGACACTGAAATTAGGCTTCAAAACTTTTTGAGGCTCAAATCAAGAGTCAACAGTCGGCGACTGTCAGTCTCACATACATCAACAAATAAAACCAAGCTTATGCTTCAACAAATATAAATAAATTTTACATTAATTATTAAACTGTTATTGTAATTATGTTAAGTATAATAAAATGAATATTAATGTTGTTTTTGGGAATTTGTTTCGCCAAGTTAATGTACATTTAACCTTTTATGCACATTTATTTTTACTTTTGGAAAACTTTCCAGAAAGTTTTTAACATCCTAGAAATTTGTTCGGAAAGTCATGAATAACAATAATAAAATGGTACTTACATTAAGTCCTACATGCTGTTTTCCTTAATCAATGGCGGGGGCGTCGTGTTTTCTATAAGACGTGCCAATGTGGATGGTTGATACTTGTTCTGATGGACCACCCTTTCCATCACGCAAGACGCCGACAGACGCGCCTCGGCGTCGTGGTCCCAACACTCTTCCATCGTGTCACACATAGCTGCCAATCCCTAGTGAAATATTAATAATACAATTCTTTATTTAGTGTATAACTTCAAATACATTTAATAGAAGCCAGAGCACAAGTAGGTTTTGTTAAGTTTTAAGATAATCATGTTTTTTTAAATATCTTCCAAATAATAAGTAAACTTATAAACTAGATATTTTAATAACATTTTGTCCATGAAAGAAAACTCAATAAGAACGCCGGATTTGGTATGTTAATTAAATACCTTAATAATTTAAAAATAAAATTTGTTTTTATTTCAACATAAAGAACAAATCTTCCGATTATGCCCTCTTTTAATGAATTTTTTTATAACATTTTCTCATATGTGCTGCTGAATTTCGTCAATAACGTGTCGAATATCGTTTTTAAGTTGATGAATTGTTGCTGGTTTGTTGACCCAAATTCTGCAATTTTATTTGTTGACATAGCCACTGATAGCGCTTCATCGATAAACTTTTTTTTGCAAATTCAACATCTTGTTCCTTGCCAGAATCCAATTAACAAATTTCCGGCGAATTGCATAAACTACTGGGATTAGCTTCTGTGTTAATTGAATTTTGTATGGATGCAAGTAAAGATCTTTGTTAAAATGTGCTGTAAACTTTCCTCGAAGTAGCAACTTGTTGGTAACGCTGACAAAAGTATTTGTTTTTTTTATTTAAAAATAAATCATAAGTACCATAAGTATATATTAATTTTATTCCATTCTAATCAATCAGTTGATCTTTTTAGGTCGTTGTTTACTGCCATTTCTAGACTGTGCCTTTGCTGCTGTAGACCAAGAGGGTATCATCAGCAAAGGTATGGTAGTGGCTTCTCTAAGACTTAAGACATAAATTGCCAGTGTGCTTTTGGTTTTATTAATTTCTACATACTGTCTGTCCGTTAGATATGAATTAATTATTGATAATATTTTGCTTCTGAGGCTCATACTCTCCATTCTATCCAATAACACATCATGGTCCACAACATCAAATGCTTTTTTTAAATCGACAAATACTGTAGCAACATATCTATTTTTATTAAATTGGTTGCGGCTACCACCGCACTTTTTTCCAAGAATCCATACTGAAAATTATCAATTAAATTTTGTTTTTGTAAAAATTCCAATATTCTAATTTTAATCATTTTTTCAAAAATTTTAGAGAAGATGCTTATTATATAGATATTCAGGCCAATTCACTAACATGCGTCGTTAACATTAACCACTAGAATCAGTGGTTATCGGGCAATCCGGCCAATCGGGCCGTTTAAATATAACGATAACCACTGATTCAAGTGGCTAACGTTAACAACTTATGTTAGTGAATTTGCCTGATTATCTGTAATAAGCATCTTCTCTAAAATTATTGAAAACATTTTTTTACAAAAAAAAATTAATTGATAATTTACAGTATGGATTCTTGGAAAACTCTTTAATAGGCCTATAGTTTTCTAGTGTTTTTAATTGGAAGTTGGGTTTTGATCGTCATAGGGTAGACCCCTCCAATGAAAGAGTTTGAAAATAAGTGAGTTTGTGACCTGAGGAAACAAAATTGGATTCCCAGCGTAGAATTTATAAGATCTACATTAGATTGAGTAAGTTTCAAGTAATTTCCACAACGAATGGTTTAGATATATATGGAAATAAGTCTGTGCAAGCAACCATTTGCCATGTGAAGCATGGTTAAAACGAAATAGAAAAAGTATGATGCATGAAACAAATTAAAGCTAAGGATTTGAGTATTGACCATAATTTATGGTAAAGGAAGTGATATATAGGAATTTTATTGGATACAAGCTAAAGATTGAATTCTAAATTTGTGGTTAATGTGTGTACGTCTTCGGAAAATATATTAAAGAGGAAATGATTTAAAGATATAGATGTAGATACTACTCAGATTTATGAACGAAATGAAAATCAAATATTGATTTATGAAAAAATTCTATTGGATACAAGCTAAAGATTGAATTTTAAATATGTAGTTAAGGTATGTACGTCTTTGGAAAATATATTAATGAGGAAATGATTTGAAGATATAGATGTAGATTGGGGTGATTCATTTCCGCAAAGTTTTTTTTTTTCGGTGCTCAAGCAAAATATTAATCTACCTATAGAAAAAAAAATGTTCACCAAGGTAGAGAGCTCTTAATATCAATTTTAAGTACTTGCAGTTTAAATTTAAAGTTTTCCCATCTAAAATGAATGTAAAAAAAAAGTTTTTTTTTCAAATTTCTAATGCTCGCCCGCTTTTTACAATATTGTTTTATGGACCTTATAGGAAATTTCACGCTCTTCGAAATTGTCTTTGTGTTTTTTTTGTGTAACTCGTAGTGGTTCGCCAGTAGGAGTCATCAAAGTTCAATTTTTTGAATGAACATTTTTTTTTGTAATTTTTTTTAACAATTCGCAAAAAATAGTGAAAAAAAGAGCTGAATCGTAAAAAATAGTCTTTTAACAAATATTTGATGAATTTACGGCCATTTTTATATCTTAAAACGTAAGTAATTGATAAATATTAACCAATTATGCTATTTAATTAAACTTTCTTATTTACTATCGATATAATTCTCTACAACAATAAGAGCGTGAAATTCCCTATAAGGTCCATAAAACGGAAATGAATCACCCTAATGTAGATACTACTCAGATTTATGAACGAAATGAAAATCAAATTTTGATTTATGAAAAAATTCTCCCTTGAAGGTATGGACACTTAAATGAGGGCCTTCGAGTTTACATATATGGAAAAAAATACAGATATGAGCTGGCCAAATAGCTGTAACCCGCTAAAGGCCAAAACTTTTTAGAAGAAATGTTTTTAATTTATACTTAATGAGATACTCAATTTAAATATGAAAAAGTACCTAAATAAAAACCTCAATAAAACATAACCTAATGTTTTTAAAATTTTATTTTTAATCGATGTAGGTATAATTTAAACTTTATTGTTATAGGCTTTACTGCGTTTTAACCGATCATAAAATTCGATAACTATCACTGTCAATAACCTCACTTTCTACTTTTAATAATTATTCGTTTCATTTATCTTTTAATCGAGCGTTTAATAAATAAAATTGTGCTTTGAAAATAAAATGTTTATGCCATTCCGCCAAGAAGTGTTTTTTGTGCTTTGCTCAACACAAAAAGACTTGATATATATTAGTTACCTAACCTCAATTCTTCACGTTTATAGACTAGAGGTGGCAAGTTTCATTCCAATTCGTTCAAAATGAACCTTGCTAAAGTCATTGAAACGTCAGCAGACGTCAGTGTGCTACCTGGGATAACTTATTTAACCGTTTCATTTATTTTTATTGTCATGCCTTGTGTTATGTAGCACTTCTAACAAATATAAAACCGTCATATAAAAAAATGTTTGTCAAATATACTCGTAAAAAAGAGAAATTAAAAAGCTCTAAAACTTACTGGGTGTCTTCTCCAATGGTCGGGTATTGTGGGTCTGACTTTTCCTTGTACTACAGACTCCTGCATGTCTTCCAAGGTGGGATGCTGTCCCACTTCTTCTTCAAACGGTAATCTGTATTCGGGAACGGTGCACTCTTGTGCCGTGCAACGGGAAACTAACTCCCACAGAACCAGGCCGCAGGCGTACATGTCGATTCTCAAAAATGCGTCGGGAGTAAAATTAATTGCACCTTCTAGGACTTCCGGTGCCATATATCTAAATATTAAAACAAAATTAATATACAATTTTAATTATCGTTTTTTTTACCTTCTTGTTCCTACTTGTCCATGAGTGTCACCGCAAGATTTTCCCGCCTCGAAAACAATCGCCAAACCAAAGTCGGCTATGCAAGCTGTCAAATCGCTTTTCAGCAAAACATTCTTGCTCTTGAAATCTCTGTGCGCCACAGCGGGTTTTATAGGTTCGTTCGGGATGGCTTCGTGTAAATGCATTAAACCTAAGAAAAATCAAATTGTATGCAAAAATTCCTTATTAAGAAGAGAATTGTTTACCTTTCGACATAGTTTCGGCAACACGGCATAATTCAGACCAGGTCAAAGTGTGTGCTTTAAGAAAATCGCATAGTGAGCCACGGTCGTGGTAGGCGGTGATTAACCAGAACTCGGCCTGCAAATTTTCTCCGTGTTTTTCCACACCAATGTAATGCAAAATATTGGGATGATTCATGTAAGGTAACTTAAATATTTCCTGTTCGGTTTGCCAAGATTGTTTATCCTAAAAAATTGTTTTGTCATTCATTTCCTTTGTTTCTGAATAATTTTGAAGTAAATTAAAATTAACGTTTTAAGAGAATGTATCAATATAAAAAGATTAAAAATAAATTAATTCATCAATGGTATATTATACAGGGCGTCACGAAAATGGCGCATATATAAATTAAAATTTGATAAGGGTTTTAAAATTAAATTTTAATTTAACTTGAATAATGCTTTTTAAAATATAATATGTATATATTAAGAACAATTTTCAAAAATATATACTTATTTGTAAAGAGCGGATTTTATACATAAAAAGGCTAAAATATGCGTATGATATGAATATTTTTAAAATTGAAAATGCTTTTATATAGAAAACTTGTGTATGATAAAAATGATTTTTTGGCGAAAAAAAATATTTTTTTTAATTCCTTCCATCGAACCAGACCCATCTTAAATATAAAAATTGTAATATTCAGGGAAAAAAATTGGTTTTTTTGAGCCAGGATACTTTAAGAGCATAACAAACTTTTCCAAAATTGGGCACATTAATTTAAAAAAGAAAACGAGCTATATGGGGTCCCATGGTGAATTTTACAAATACAAATATTTTCATATTTCGTTTCCCTGGTTATTAGTGAGTAGTGACTGTCCCAGCACGCTACATAAGATTTGAATAACACACAAACAGTTCCCCAACCCTTTCTCTAAGACATAAAATATAAGGTGTGGGAGGGCCCTGTAAGGGAACTGTTTTCCGGGCCAATAAATCATTCCAGCACGCGCCTGATGATGTACTGCTGGTTTATTACAAGTATTTTAATAATAAAATTTCATAAATACCTTAAAACATAGGGCAAAATTTATAGAAGACACTGCTTAGCAGTGACTGCTATCTAATATAACTAGTAGTTATTAACTACTGATTAATTTCATCTAAAATAAATTTATATCCTTGCCATAAAGAACGGCATGCTTTAAGCGCGCCACGCCTTTGTCTTTTGTCGGCTTTACACCGCGTTATTACAAATAAGCCGCATTATTATAAAATAATAAAAACAGAAGAATATTCGCTACTCTACCGTACTCATAATTGTTTATTGTTTATTTGATTTATTTTTGGTAGAATTAAACCATTTGGTAACAATTTTTTTTTTTTTTAAGTAATTTTGCGCTAGAATATAGTTTATTGCACGAAAATGTACATTTTCCAATAAACGCGACTTAAAAATAACACGTTTGTTCGATTATAAAAAAATTGCAATTTTTTGTGTAAATGTTTAAAACCGAACGGCAGCAGTTTTGTCGAAATGGTGTACAAAATACACGGCGCGTGTAGTTAAAGATTTTTTATAAAATAACGTTACCCACACAAAAATTCCTTTTTAACTTAGTATTTTAAGTATTTTTAAGACAACTTTTTTTTTTAATTAGTCCCACATTGTATCAAGTTAATTTGACAATAAAAAAGCTATTTTTTCTAAAATTAAGTATTTTCGAGAAAAAAAATTAGTATTTTTCCACCGAGAATGCCAAACACCGACCAATCCGTTTCTAACAATTTATAAGCAAATTAAATAATTAACCTAGACAACTTACTTGGAAATTGTAATTGGAAATTAGATAATAGTTAATGTTTATTGTGTTTAACAATTAAAATGAAATTTTGTTCTTTATTACTCTTATTTTACACACTTTTATTGCAGCAGGGTAGTGTGATGTGAAGTATGGTTCTTTATTTTTAAAAAATCATAACTCCAAAACGAAAAAAGATAGACTCGGGCCGTTTTCACCAAATTATTTGCCATCAATTAATAAAACTAAATGAGTTTGACCTACCTGTGTTTTGATCTTTCATAATTAAGTAGATATTACAGGCTCAGGTTCCAAATTTTTAACCGCAATTAATTATTTTTTACATTGTTTTAAAAGTCTAAAACCTATCCTCCGTGACTGTTACTCTTTCTAGGTTAACCTATATGTTTTAAAATATCTGAGGGAGTAAAAGCATACTAAAAATATCAGTTCACTAAGTAAATTAAACACATCCAAAGCAATCGAATCAAATATATATTATTAAAAATTTAAAGAAATAATTTTTATAACCATTTATGTAGGTGTTACAAAAATTGATTCTATCCTCCGTGAATCGGTTTTTGCTTTAAATTTTATGCAACGGATGGCGCTTTAATCATTTTAAATTAACAAAAACCCCAGGGGTAAACCACTTTAAAACCTTAGAGACCAACGTTTAATGTTAGTGGACGTTGTGTTGTGATTTTTTTCAGTCGTTATCAATAAGGAAAACTTGCTTAATCAGCGCTTAGCGACGCGTTGCGCATGACTACCCTTGTTATTGTTATCCTTAGCCGTTAATTCGTAAGCGATTTTTAATTTTAAAAAATCAGTGGTTTACCCCTCGCAAAAACCTCTGTTTACGACATTATAATTCAAAAGTTTAAGTTCATTAATTTGCTATTTAAAAACCTATCCACTGCGAAGTGTAATATCTCAGTAAGTAGAATTTTTTTATAAATATTTTATGTATGTACAATTGTATTTTTTTTAAATATTAAGGTGTCAAAAGATACTATAACTTATTTCAAAATACAAAGGGATGTTTAAAAAAAACATACGAAATCCTAACCTCCGTGAAGCTATCTTCCGTGAAGCTCTAATATTCAAAATGTATGATTTCTTAAAATTCTTGCCTTAGTGTAGAACCACTTATGTTTTGTTAATACTAGACCTGGTGGCTTCCCAAAAACCTCATTCTGGACTAACAGTGAAACAACCAAAAATAAAAAATAATCATTTTGGGGGACATCTCAATATATTCACCCTTATGCAAATAATCCACTCTAATGATTAATAAATAATGTTCTTACTTGAATTGGAAATATTTTAACTGCAACTTCTTCAGTTTTAAATTGGGCTTTCCAGACAGCACCAAATCGACCTCTAGCTTTAATTTCAATAAGCTGTATTGGCCTATTGTCCAAAAACGGTGATGGTGGTGGTAACATATTAGGTTCAGATGTTGGTAACTAAAAATAACCTTTGTAAAAAAAACAAAGAAAAAAACAAAAGAAAATATAAATAAAAAAAAATACTTACTCTCCACTATTATTAGCATGAAATAAACAATATCAGTATTTAAAAATTAAATTAAAGCAATTAGTAGCTTACCCCACTAAAGTAATGTTTATGCCTCTTTAGGCAAAGAAAGACAAAAATTATGATAACCACAGTGGTAACAAAAAAAACAACCAAAGTTATTCCTACAGGAACCCACATTTGTTGTGCTGGTGGGGGCATCTCAGCTAAAAATGTTTTGATTTAATAATAATTAACTTAAATGTGAAATGTATTTACTGCTTGGTGTAGGTGGTTCAGTTGGAGCTGGGTCATACGTAAAATTAGCATTACATAAATTTCCTTCACAGCAACAAAAAAATGGTTTTTTACTTTTGTAGGATTTCTCCACACATTCAGCTTGATCGTAACAGGTGATTAAATTTAAAAAACAACCCTACAAAGAAAGAGGCATTACATTATATCTAATTAAAAAGTGTTCATTACTTTAAGGAGTACTTCTGGTTTTCCTTTATCATTGATCTCCCAAGCAACATAACAATGGTTACGTTTCTTTTCACCAGGGGCTTCACATTCCTCAATTTCTTGACAATTTGGGCCAGAACAGTGGGTCCTATTATAAAATTCGCATTTTGAGGTGACTAAGGCACCGCTGTTTATTACAGCAGCTTTGATCTGATAATCTAGAAAATATAAAATAATAATATTTTGTTAGATAGTTGTAAGTGTTTACCTTGAAAAACTATGAATAGAATAACCCAAAGCAAAGTCCTTGCTACAATATGGTTCACTCGCTCCATTCTACCACTTTGTAATATAAAAATAAAGGTACTTAAAAAATATTTGCGTTCTATTTTGCTTTAAACCAAACATGGATAACTTAACCCAGGTCAAGAAAATAAAAGGTCAATATATCGATTTTTCACATTCAATTGTTTTTTAATATACCTTAATGGCGGATATGCACATATTACAACATAAACTCACAAATTTTGTTCAATTTTTTTCGTAAACAAATAAAATGCACAATTTTATATCTTTAGACATTACATTACACCTTACATATACCAACTTTACATCAACAAAAGTTCCTGAAAAGTACACATTTTAAGCAAGGTTGTCAGATTTATAAATAATCAACAACATGGAGAATAGGTCAAAGAACTCATAGAACATAAGAAAGGACATAAAAACTCGAAGGTGCATTACGATTCGAAATTTACATTAAAGTGGCTGATTTAACGGCCGGAAAATTCAGGTTTTTTTTTAAGGTTTATTGACTTTTAGTCTCTTCGACTATTTAGCCAGCTCATTATTATATATTTTTATGCTCGAAAAACAAGCACAACACCCAAGGCTGTGACCGGGAATCGAACCCGGTACCGTGGCGCAGATTGATTAAAATTCAGGGTTCTAAAAAGCTTCAAGACAAATTAGCAGATTATATATCTGCTATAGCTTGGTTAATTCTTTTTTTTTATTGAACATGGCACCGATTCGTTTTTGTTTAGAAGTTACAAGCATTTAAAAAAATATTTCCATATTTTAATCAAATGTAGGCTAATGCACAATCCATGGATTGTGGGCTAATGAATAAAAATTCCGGTTGATATCACAATAATAATTATTATTATTTGTGTCATTTTGACTAAATTTGACACTTTCATTAGAATTTAGGTATCTATCACTTTAAGTAGAATTGCGGTTAGGTATCTGTCATTTTTAGTAGAATAGAGGTTAGTTATCTGTCACTTTGAAGCCCACTGCACAATAGCCCGGTAACTGGAACGGGAATCTGAACAGTAAAGGTGGTAGAGAAACCACTGTTGATAGATAGTGTTTGCTGAGTCTCTCCTACCTTTACCGTTTAGGTTCCCGTTCTCGTTACACGGCTGTTGTGCAGCGAGCTTAAGTAAAATCAATGCAAGCTTGCACGCTCGACTACAGGCGTCAAAAACTGCGTGCAAAGTACCAGTATATGGTACGTTGCACGCAGTTTTTGATGCCTACAGCCGAGCGTTTCCGGACACACTTTCATTTAAGGAAAATTGTTTAGAATTAAACCAGTTATTAGTTACCAAAGTTTATCATAGAGCTTGTAGACCACCGTATAAATAAAAGAACCAATTATTCATTTAAAATAAATTAATTATTTAACAATACAACTTTAAACTTAAGTAGCCTTTAAAGAAAAAAGTAAATTAAAAATAAAACAAAATATGTCCAATAAATACACAAATAAAAAATTAATGAGCTGGTTGTTGCACCCTGGTTGCATGTATAGTGATTCTTGGCTGAGGTTCATTATCAGGAAAGTGCATGCCGATCAACACTACTGTAAATATTCCAGTTATAACAATTAGTCCAACAGTGGCAGTAACTGTGTACAAATGTGCATACACATACCTAAAAAAATAAAAGTAATTTTTAGTTTATAAAATTAAATAATTTAATAATACACTGCCCGTCAAAATTAACGCATAATAAGTAAAAGAGTTCTCTAAAACGCCTTTACCAATCTTTATGAAATATTGTATAAAAACTTCAACTTATATCTCAGTTTACGTGTTCAAGGGTTTTTCGAAAAAATATCCCTAAAGCCCTTTTATTTAATAATAAAAAACGCTCGAAAAAAAACTTTTATAGGAATTTTTTTTTTGTAAATAAAAACTATTATGTGAAAGACCGTATTTTTGTAAGTATACCCTGAAAATTTTGTACAAATCAAACGAACAGTAACAAAAATACAGCGCTTCAAAGTTGTCAAAATTGGCCACTTTTCAGCAATATAATCAAAAAGGGGTCATTTTAACTGACTTTGAAGCGCTGTATCTTCGTTACTGTTCGTTTGATTTGTACAAAATTTTCAGGGTATACTAACAAAAATACGGTCTTTTACAGCATATTTTTTATTTACTTAAAAAAATCCCTAAACGTTATTTTTTGAACTTTTTTTATAATTAAATAAAAGAGCTTTAAAAATATTTTCTCGAAAAGTCCTCGAACACGTAAACTGAGATATAAGTTAAAGTATTTTTATACAAAATTTCATAAAGATTATTAAAGGCGTTTTAGAGTTAGAATTGTGTTACTTATTATGCGTTAATTTTGACGGGCAGTGTAGTATACTATCTGTTTTAATATTTAACATAAAATTTATTAAAAATCAATTACAAAGTGGGCAGAATATGGTGTCCACAAGTTAATTTTAATTTAGCAGTTTCCTAAGCATTTATATAGTTTTTGTTGAAAGGAAAAAATATTAAACTATTTTATTTTAACATGCATGATAAAAAAAAATTAATAACAATAGTATTCTAAATTTTTGGAAATCTAAACCTAAAAAGATTAAACAGTTGCATATGAGTCATATGAAATTATCGAAACCGATGTTAAATTTTGCTTAACCATTTTTTAGCAAGAATCTTTGTGGGCTTATGAGAAAAGCTTAACTTTGCGTATTATCTAAAAGGTAGAAAGTTATTTTTTTTTGTTTGTTTTATTTTGTTTTTCCTGGATTTTATTTCTCTTGAAGTTTTAGAAGAAAATGTTACAAGAAGGCTCGATCATTTATTTCAAAATATATGATATTCTGATTGTTGACGGTGTCGAAATTTTTTAACAATTTTAGTTAAATCCGGCATGCTACTCTAAACACGTCGTCAAGGTGTGAATCAGTGAGCCGACATCTGTACGCATTTTTGAAATTGACGGGATCCAAGAAAGAGACCTAGCATCCAAAAATAAAATTTTACATGAGGCGATTGAAGTTCGCGCGGCATAGGCGTTTTTTGTAATGACGCTCGACTTAATAAAAATTAATAGCCATGTGAATTCCATTTGGACCTTTTGAAAGATCGTTTACCCCTCTACTTAAACAAATGATAATCTCAAAAATAATTTTTTGGATGCTAGCTTCCTTTTCGTCAAACGCGTCCAATATTTAATTTCAGCTTTATCGGGTACCAGGTACCAGGTACCTACTAATTTTTAAAATTGCAATTAATTGCAACAATGCGGGTGTTTGCCTACTAGCCCCCGAGACTGTAAATCCCCACCATTTCTTACAAAACCTATTAGGGGTCGTCCATAAAGGACGTCACGCTTTTTAGCGGATTTTTGACCCCCCTCCCCCTTGTCACAAATGGTCACGTGCGCCATCTGGTGGGCTTCGATAGATTTGCGTGAATTTAATAATTGTCAACAATACATTTAAAGCATACGAACGGTACTTCATTTTTAAATAAATAGGTAGTTTTTTCACAAAAGAAAGGAAGGCAGAAGTCTTACTCGACAAATTTTGTTCCATTGCACAGCTAAATCGCACACGTTATTTGTGTTTTACGTTGCAAGGAAAAAATTAAAAAACTTTTTTAGTACTCGATTTCGATTGATTATTATTTATATCATTGATTAAGAAACTCAACGCTTAAATGCTTATACCTATACTATATAGTTACGTTAGTGTGTGTATTTTATCTAAGGGATCATGGTGAATTATTGTGTTTTTAATTGTAAATAAAATTTAAGAACTAAATTGCATTGCATTTTCATGTTTTGGCAAAGGATCCAATTCGGTAAGTACATTTGTTGGTGCAGAATTAACTAATGATAACTTTACCTAATATAATTTATATTTAAGTTTGGACATTAGTAAAATAAAATAATTTTGGCACAAACATAACCTTAAAATCAACCATTTTTATATTTGAGTTCTCTAAAAAACGCCGACAACTGCATTTTAAACAACAAACTATACCTAGGAATTCATGGCAACATAATATTACATATAATACATAATATAATGGTATTTTACCGTTGAGTGGAAACTTTCTTAATCAACGCTTTTAATAATGCTAAATGCTGCTTAAATTTAGACGACTTATTTGTTTTACAATTTTTACTGAATTGAAATGTTTACAATTTTCACGTTAATCATTACAAAAATGTGTATTTATTGTATCTAATAGATACAATTTATATTTACAGGGACTGTATGAAATTTATTTCTTCCTTCGGATAAATACTGTTTATTGGAATACCGTTTTTTTTTTCGATATTTTTTAACATTTTCCGGCTTTATTCTTAAAAACACTCGTTTGTAACATAAGCGTTTGACAGCTGATTATTGTTGTACTTTTGTTATGATGATAGCAGCCGAGTGGTGGCGCTACTAGCGATACTTCTTTAGCGTATAGGCATTTTAAACTGTTTTAGGTTCAGGCATTGATTAATGAATACTTCTTCACTCAACGGTTCAGGTTTTTATTAATTATATCAGAAACGTGTTAAAATAATGATACTTTATTTCTGGGGTAATTTTTGGGCAAGAAACCACACAGCAAACGGAAAAATATAGAAGTGTATAGGATGACTCTCTGTTTAAATACTAAATCTTAAAGTTTTATCAGAACTCTATTTAATCGTGCTTTGTTTTTATATATTTCGCCTCTATAAATATGCACGACTATTATAGTTAAAGTCAAACTATAATAGTTTAAGTCAAACTATAATAGTTCAAGTCAAACTCAATGGTCTCTTACAAGATACATTATTTTGATTTTCTATATTCAACAGAGAGGTAGAAACTCGACCCTGTCGAATGGTGCAGTCATTTATGTCTCTAGAAATTATTAAAAAAGGGTTCAGTCCAATGGTGCAGCAACTTCGGATTCCTATTCTCTTCAGAGACATAGAAACTCAAGCTTTTCGAATTTTGCTGGCAATGATTTTCGTTAATGACCCCGAGAGTTATAAAAAAACAGCGCAATGCAATATCGCAACGGTTTCGAGTTATAGAAACTCTAATACTGTTCTAGTAGATTCAATATTTCTGAGAGCATAAAAAGAGGGTGTAATTCAATATTGCAAGAAGTTTTGATCTTTTGATGGATGCAAGTATTTTGAATATTCTCATTTCTGCATATGATTTTGTTGAAAACAGTTCCGTTCTTTGGTTCCTTTGTCTGATTTTTATTTACCGTAACAACTCAGGTATGTAAAGCACAGCCCTGCTGAAAATCCCGCATAAAAACTTATAAAAAAAACTTATAAAAACTTATAAAAGTTGATGAGTTTTTATAGGGCCTATGAAACAGCAATTTCTGATACAAACCCTTGTGGAAATTTTTTCTCTGAGAAAGTCTTACTTTCTCTGAAAAAGTCTGAATAATACTTATTAAGTCGGAAAAAGTCAGAATAAGACTTATTAAGTCGGAAAAAGTCTGAATAAGTCTTATTAAGTCAGACTAATAGCAAGATTTGGGAGTCTTCTGGAAGAGTTAATAAGACTTTTTAAGACTTAATAAGACTTTTAGTAGAGAAATGGTAGGTACCTACGGAGATAAAAATAAATATCCGAAATAATTCATAGAGGTTGTATTTGGTTATCGTAAAATAAAACACATAGAAAAGTATTTATTAACATTTTTGCTGTTGTTATAAGCCAATTTTATTGCATAATTACCTATATAATAACATAGGTAAGATGTAATAATTAGGTATAACAATTATAATTTTATACATACGATGCGCTTGACATGCATGCTTCCACAATAGAAAAAGGGTTTGCCACTGTACGTTTTATTTTAATAGTTTCTTTTGATACACGCAAATATTTACCTATCTAAACATTGTCACAAACAATAGACGTAAGACGTAATATCGAGAGACCAGCTTAGCTAGCTGACCAATTAGAGCACAGCTGACCTGTCAGTGGGACACAGTGTTGCCGTTTGCAAGTATTTTACTCGAAAATCGGGTATTTTCATAATATTTGCGGGTGATTTGCAAATTTCTATCAAAATAATAACAAAAGAAATTTTCAGTAAATAATATTGTATATTTACTAAATATGCACAATTATTTTATTCTATCTTGTTACATTTTTATTATTATTTTAGTATTTTGTAATTTATGGTCAGGAACTTTTATGGCAACACTGTACGTAAACACGAAGATCAACCATGATACAAAGATGAATGAAACACGAAGATCAACCATATTTGTCTTATGAGTCTATCGAAAATATCATGTCTATAGACTTGATATTAACTCCTTTTTCTATGTTGGAAACAATGAAAGCATGTTAAGCGCATCGTATGTATAAAATTATAATTGTTATAATTATTACATCTTACGGTAAGATTCTTACCTATGTTAGTATATAGGTAATTATGCAATAAACTTGGCTTATAACAACAGCAAAAATGTTAATAAATACTTGTCTATGTGTTTTATTTTACGATAACCAAATACTTACAATCTCTATGAATTATTTCGGATATTTATTTTTATCGCCATAGGAACCTACCATTTCTCTACTAAAAGTCTTATTAAGTCTTAAAAAGTCTTATTAACTCTTCCAGAAGACTCCCAAATCTTGCTATTAGTCTGACTTAATAAGA